TTGTTCTGTTTTATGCGTTAAGCCAACATACATGATCTAGCAGGATATTCAGTGTCTGGTATTTTCAAGGCTAGAGTATAGGTAATAGGTATTTTTTTAGTTTGCGTGTTCCATCTTAGACCCCATCATAGCTTTCCATCAGGCGTGATAGAGGTCAGACGCACTCAAATAACTACTAAAAAAAAAAAATTTCTTTCTAATTCCTGCCAGACATTTGTTCTCACATAATTGAACCAACTGTTTGTAAAAGGAATCTGTATGTGAAACTGATTTAAAAAGAGTAACCATGGAGTTTCTAGCTCGTTCTTCTCCATCGGAATCTACACTTTGGAAAGAGCAACAGCTTTATTAACGTAGCCCCCCACTAGGATTTTCTCCTGTGTCGAGGGAGCGTTTACAAACATACAAATTCACATACATAAGCCACTCAGTCCCGAAACAACGATTTTTGGATCACACAAAGGGTTGTTCTGTGAGGGAATCTAACCCGCGACACGTTGCACAGCAGCCAGTTGCCCAGCCACAGCGCCAACCGTGCAGTTAATATTGTGGTCAACTTTGAACACTATGGTTAGTGCTTATTATAATGTTCGTTCCTGTTTCATGCTCATATTACAGTACCCAAGGAGATCAAATGCACTTTTTCGTGTTTAACTGGTTTCTATAATAATACTATGGCTTCCCCAGACTCATTTATCGATAGAGACAATAATGTCTTGAGTTCAGTTGGAAAGCGAATTAAATATTTAATGAGTTTTTGGGATCGTGTCCACTTATAGAATTATACACACATAATATTATATTGTATTTTATTAATTTGAGCGTATTCCGAATAAAGTGCCTTGCGATATATTTATAGCAATGTTGCTTTCCAGGAAATTCTTGTGATATCTTTATAAAGGGTTTTTTAACGTTATCGGATTTTGTCCTGCGTTGTGAGTGCGTAAACAAACATACATTTACATACAAGCCTACAGTAACAAGCGAATATTTATGTTTATAGGAAATACCAATTGTATCACTTAAGAGTTAAGTTTGAAAATCGAAGTAAAGAAGTTTAAAATTTAAGTGTATCTTTTCACGCAGTTGTCTGTCTATACAAAACGTTTTCAACCAGGATTCGAATGAGTTTAATAGTAGTACATATCTGAAGTCTGGCAGTGTAATTACGATTTCTAAACTTGGATCAGCTTTAGCTGTTTGGAAGACATCAAAAGGTGTAATTGCTTTGTCCATAGTGATGAATGTGCCATTAATGTAGTTTTTTAAAACTTACTTCCTCTAGTAATTAGGTGAGCTGATCCTCATGAAGGTCTGGTGTTCTGCAGATAAAGATGTTCTCATCGGTATGAGGAACGTGGGAGAACGCTTTGAATGTCATTGGTTGGTTCCAGACTTATAAAATTACTAGCTTTTGCCCGCGACTTCGTTAGCATGGAATAGTGACTTCCTGCGGATTTTTGGTATAAAAACTATCCTATGTCCTTCCTCGAGTTCCAAACTATGTCTGTACAAAATTTCACAGAAATCGGTTCAGTAGTTTAGGCGTGAAGAAAAGACAGACAGACAGACAGAGTTAGTTTCGAATTTATAATATTATTTATGATTTATGATTTTCGGAAAATTTTCATAGAAATTCATATTAATAAACTTTTCAAATAAACATACATTTAAGAAAAAACACGGTTTGATGACGACTCAATAGAACACATTCCCGCCTACCATTTCTTTGACCAATGTTACTGTTATGATGTATTCTTATTTCCTTTTGCCATATTAGCAAGAAAATAATACAAGTACCTACACTTATAAGTTCAACACAATCATAAAATTAAGTACAAAGCAAGCAAACATCGACCTTATCACCTATCACATTCCGGTAAGGTGTGTGTCGGCGTACAAACTTCATTCGATGTGTCAAGCTAATGGAGTAACAACGGTAAAAAATCTACTCTAACACTCTAATTATTAAGTTCATATTTAATTAAGCCGCATATTACAAGACAATTTTTACTGTGACACCCATGACGAAATTAAGGAAAAGAAACCATAAGATCTAGATGTTAGAGGTGATATTTAAACAGCGGTTGCTATGGAGACTGTTGTTCGTGAAAGACCCTTTTCAGTGTGAAACCGGTGTCAAGGTAATAATATCAACAAGTATTTCAACTTCATAGAAACGGCCGAAACGCGAACTATACCTACGCGCCCGATGTCGGGACGCGCTCGGGACGCAGACAGACGCGGCTGTACCGCAGTGACGAACGGACGGTGTGTTGTCTTTTATTTAGAAATCAGCTCGAGTACATTATTTAATATGACGAATAGGAAATATTGTGCTGTTATTATGTTTGGTTGCATGAATTCGTCAATAACGCATCCAGACATAAGTTTTTTTTAAATTACCTGGAAACTCTGAAAGGTAAGACTATAAAATAATTTTACTTACTAGTAGCCTAGGTAGGTACATAATGTGTGTCTTTATGGATCATTATTTCCAGTTATCTCACGAAAACAGATGTTTGAATTTATAAATAATATGAATAAAGTTATTGAGACGAGTGAAATAGGTAGTTATAGGCGGTTCTGGTTCTGAATGAATCATGACGTCATACGTTATTTACCTACCTACTTATGCTTGTGTTAAAACGGTTCATGTATGGTTTGTTAGTTTGTTTAATTCAAAGTAGAGAGTGTGGTATTTTATTATTAATCATATTTGTTTATTATCTGCGTTTATGAATAATACTAGAAAATATTTAATAACAACAATAAAACAGCTAGACTCATGTAATATTTTGATGTTTGAGGGTTGTGATTTTAGAACATTCGTAGTCAGCTGTTCAGTTCGGCATTAGTGGCCAAAGAAATTTTGTTTGTTTATTTTTAAAGCACTTTATTTGTTTATATAAAAAAAAAGGATATTTACAATCACAAAACTAAATGGAAACAGAAAGTAGACAAAGGTAATTAAAATACTGGAGACGAGCAGCCCTAACGCATGTTTACGTACCGCGCGGCTGTAGGTATTTATTTCTTTCAAGCGGCCGAGTTAAAATACTGTATGATATTTATACTGTGCCGGTGGGGTGCGGCGTGGTATTGATTTTCGCGTCACAGAGCCAAAGAAATAAGTTCAGTGTGTGTGTAGAAAAATGTGTTTTATAGCGTAAAAAATATAAAAAAAGTATCTTTCGTTCTATATTTTGATAGTAGAAATAAGATATTTATTGGGTAACGTATAGGATCTATTCAACAAGTTCCTAACAGTATGTCAATAATGTGGCACAGATAAAAAATGTAACTAGCTAAATAGTGCCACAGATTACATCTATACTAATATTATAAAGAGGTAAAATTTGTGAGTTTGTATGTAGGGGTAATCTTTGGAACCACTGGTCAGATTGCCAAAATTCTTTCACTGAGAGATAGCTACAATGTTTCTGAGTGCTATTGGCTATAAAACATCACGCTACGATCAAATGGAGCCGAGCAGCAGGTGAAACCGCGTGACAGTAGCTAGTATATTATAAATATTAAATTAAGAATTTTGTCCGTTTTCTGTTCCATTGCAATTTAAATTAGGCTTATTCTACTTTGATTATATTGGTGATGTCACATTTCACACAATAATGTTCTGCGGCTCGGCCCGGATCAGGGGAAGGGAGAGATTGGTTTTTAGTCAGTAAGAACCTGACAGTCCCTCTTGCTCCAATCAGTGCGGAAAATATTATTTGATGATATCCCCCCACAAAAAAGGCAAATGACAGTATCCAAATCAAATGGTATCCTTTGTTTACCTGGTGAAACAGGTCCAAGTGGACTTTTTTTATGTTATAGCTCGGCAAACGAGTAGACGGATTACCTGATGGTAAGTAACCAGCGCCGCCTTTGGACACCTACAACAACGGAGGAGTTACGATTGCGTTGCCAACCTTTTGGGTATTAGGGATTTGGAGATTTTGTGATTGGGGGAGATTATCTTGATCTTGAGGGGTTATGGTGGCCGTTGGTTAAGGCACTTTCTTGTGCATATCCGAGTTACCTGTTTGTATTAACATAGTGTAAATTTCCTTCACCGCTTCAAAGAGCGGGAGAGCCAAGCCTCGGCTAGAATGTGTCTTCTTGACCGGAGAAATACTACTGCCTCACAGGAAACCGGCGTGAAACAAATACAACGTTGTGTTTCGCCGTGTGAATGAGGTTACCAGAAGCCCAATCTTCGAGACCCTAATCCTCAAAAGGCCAGCAACGAACTCATAACTCCTGCAGTATTGCGGTTGTCTATGGGCGGCACCGATTGCTTACCATCAGGTAATCCTCCTGCTCGATCGCCGTCCTATCACAAACAAAACTCGTCCCAATCGTCCTTTTCCAATTTGCCTTGAAAATGGACATGGAATTCTCTGTGTGATAAAATGCCTTCGTTGTATGGGCACTTATTGGACCTATTTTATTTAGTTTTAGTTTTTGTTTTGGGAAAATCATCAAATGACGGTTCCCGCGCATGGTGAGGTGAGAGGAAGTGTTAGACTTTTACTGACTAAAACCTCCCCGTTTCTTCTTCTGCTCTAGGCCGAGGCCGCGGTGCCTTATTGCGCTTTCCCCGCCACCCCGGCCAAACATCAGCCTATAGGGCCCCGTCTGTGGTGGTCTATTTGGCTCTTTGAGCGCGTGCGAAACGCTACACGCCGCAAGCTTGGATATAATTAGTTACTTTTAAAATTAACTAAGAAAACCGTATAATTTGCATATTACCTTTGTAAACGTGTCTAAAAACCGTTACAAATACAAAATAAGTTTGCTAAAAATAGTTGGTGTAGTTTACGTACGTAAGTAGATAAGAGCAACATTGTAGCTTTTCCACTTTTCAGAATTAATTAAAATGTAACAATCTCACACAAATTTTCAGTATTTTTTAAAGTGCTATAGCCTAGACCTTTTTGGAGACAAAATTGTTTTGAAAACTAGAACTATGCGTCGGTACAAATGCGTCCTCATCAGAAAATCGGCATGAAAAAACCTAAGCGTTCGGTTCCGTCGTGTGAATTCATTGGAGGTTCATCTCTTCTCGTCCGCAATTCCCCAAATCCTGATCCCAAAGGCCAGCAATGTACCTCCTCCGTCCTGTTCCTCGTACTACAATGTGACCCGTCTGCAGGGTTGATGCCCTTTATACCTAATTAAAAAAAAGTACACCAGAATGTAGGAATTAGGCGTTAAAAAATACAGAGTGATTAAAAAACCAATCACAATATTAGTCTTGCAAATAGCAACAAGACACCGCGAACCGTTTACAAACATCGGCTCATAAAAAAGCAATAAATTATAGTAAAATCCTCCCGAGAGATATAACTCAATAGTTTATAGTGGCATAATGATACACGAACCGATAGTTTACAAAATGTACTGCGGTATTGTAGCATACTCTGTAAACAGTTTCAGTGCTGAACTAGTTCCATTCCGTTTCACAGATCACATGGCAGCTTGCCATCACCCTGTCTATAAATAAAAATACTTTACTTTACATTTCACTTCACTACTCCGCTCCTATTAACCGTAGCGTGATGATTTAAACATAATTGTATTGTGGAAAAGTTTTTCTATAATATGGTGTTAATTTCACTCAAATCTGTGCAGTGGTTTTCGAGATATGTGCGTGTAAACTTGGTCAATGTCAGTAGTTGCAATGTCAGTGTTTAGGAAGCTCTGTGATGTGACAATAATGTGACTGTTTATACTCTGTGGTTTATTTTTGTTTGGTACAAGTAAGATATTTTGGAAAAAAAATATTTTATTCTGTACTTGTCATAACTTATCATAAGTCATAACCATTATTAATGATGCAAAAAAAACGGAGGACAGAAAAGTTAGAATTTATCCCACCGCATATTTTCTTTTCAATTTTGATAGTGTTATTATACTATACATATTAATTATAAAGTATACGAACTCTTTGAGGTCTTTTCATGGCGCAGTGGTACAACTTTGAATCACATTACACCACCAGCTTATAAGTGGCCACTGCTGAGCAATGGCCTCTTCTCACACGGAGAAGGGTTGAGCATTAATTACCACATTTACTCAAGGCGGATAGGCGAATTCAAACTTATAATTAGAATTATAAGTCCAGATTTTTTCACGATGTTTTATTTTACCTAATGTACAAATATACCTCGGAAAAAGACACATAACAGATCCCACCCCTAAAAAATGTACGTCACATTTTTCTGGCCGATATAAATAACTGATTTTTAATCAAAATCTTGCTTTAAGATTGTTTTTTTTTTTTTAAATTAGGTTTTCTTTAATTATCTTTTGATTTTGAATTGCGATCGAATACAAGAATTTTACTGACCTGCAGATTATGTTAGCAGAACTTAGTTCATGCAAACAAATACAGTTACTATTATAATATCTAGTTATGTTTCACAAGCTACCATCACACGGTTTCAGCGGTTACTTGGTTGCTTTTTTTAATGATCTTGAAAAAAATTGATTAGTTCTGGAGATAAGCGCTTTCAAGCAAACAAACAAACTCTTTAGATACACTATAATAAAATAATAGAAAAGTATTGATTAGTTGGGATTGGCTATTGAAGTAAAATCGATTCTTTTGTAATACGAGCCATATTTATCATAGGTGCACATTGCTATGGGCATTTTAACGTTAAATTAGAATACAATAATATCATCACTATATTATATTTATACTAATTACTCTCGCGCGGTTTTTGATCGTACATAGAATTTTGGCAATCCGACCAGCGGTTCCAAAGATTACCTCCTACATACAAACTTACAAATACCTCTTTATAATTTTAGTATAGGAAACAAAGACGCTTTCTCTGTCCTATAAGCCTATGTATAGTTAAATATATTTTTAAATATATGTATATAGTAATTAATGGCGAACATTTAAGTATTTGTACAATTACTTACATCCACTAAATAGTGGAGACATTTTTTATCAGCATTGCAAAGCAAGGGGCGGACTAGCGATCCGCCCCTTGCTGCACATGTTCAAGCTAAACTAACACTTTAATAATTTCCATAATTATAATTTCTAGGGTCGTTCATAACTATCTGTAGTAAATACCATTCGAAAAGTCCATATTTTCTTGTATCCTCGTCTTTAATGCCAAGAGACCTGACCTTGAAGAATCACTTTCTTCTAGACTGTCTTTTCAATTTGGTGAATTCCCAAAATCCTAATCCCTAAAAAGTCGACAACGCACTCGTAACTCACACTTTCATTGTTACGGGTATCCATGGGCGGCGCTGATTGCTTACCTTCGGTAATCTGACTGCTCCTTTACCATCCTATCACATAAAAAAAATCTAATTAGATGTAAACTGAAACTTACTCTCTAAAGCCACGGGTCCCTTTTTATTGACCATATATCCGTGAGGACCAATGGCGACGTCACGGTATCTATAAAGAAAAATAACATTTTAAATTATTTAGAAAACACTACATAAAGTCTGTGTTAAAATGTCATTTCATCCCCTTTTCATAAGTTCCCGAACGTAGTTACGCAAAAATTACCCATCGCACAGTGTGGTCGAAAATGAGCTGAATGTACCAAATTAATCTTTAAGTTTTTCCATTAGTCTCATACTATATCCATTTTTTATTAATTTATGATTTTTATTTAAATTCCGCAAAAACGAACCAAGCTGTTTTTATCACTATACACATAAATAAATAATAATTATACGAAATTTAAACCGGTCAACAACTTTAATTTTAAATGAATCACACCAATCAAAAATTATTTCATTGATAGATAGGTACAATGTTCTTGAGTGCTATAGGCTATAAAATCTCACGACCAGTGAGTGCCGAACTGCGGATGAAACTGTACCTAGTTTAAAAATATAGGGACAGAAAAAGCGGCTGGTTTAAGAAACTTACCTCTCTTGACCAACATCACAATCAGTGCAGCAGACGACAGGTTCATTGTCCTTGTAAGAACATATTTCTGGTAACGCTGGTATCTTGTACTCCTTTAAATCGAACCCTGCATTAGCCTGAAAAATAAAAGATACGATATATTACATGCGTCCTAATCTAACTGACCTGAAATAATATCGAGTGCAAAATTAGCATATATTTAGGAATTTCTGAATGACCAATAATAGATCTACTTAAAGGCATTTCATTTCCGAAAACCTTGTAGATATCTTACCTCCTGGAAAGTTTAATTCTTCCATTAGGAACAGAGAAAAGAGCCATAGAGAAGAAAAAAATTTGTTTGCATGTTTGTTTAGGTACTTGCACATGCTGATCTTTAGAATTAATATGTAGAGACGAGTACGTGAAATATTTTCATTGTGGAGCTAAAAACCTCTGGCTACTTATCACTACATAATATAAAACAAAGTGACTTTATCTGTCCCTACATCCCGGTGTATGCTTAAATTGGATTGTGATGCTAAATTATAAATCAACATCTGTTGAAATAAAAACAATTTACTGGTTAGACTCCACGGTTTACGCGGTGGCTGGACAACTGGCTGCCGCGCAACGTACCGCGGGTTCGATTCCCGCACGGAACAACTCTTTGAGTGATCCACAAATTGTTGTTCCGGGTCTGGGTGTGATGTGCATGTGAAATTATATGTTTGTAAACGCACCCACGACACAGGAGAAAATCCTAGTGTGGGGCAACGTTTTTTAAAAGAAAAATAAAAAAAAAGAAGATGTAGTGATTGACGAGAAGGATTGTTTATATGTATAATAACATCATTTAAATAGTGAAGAAATATGAGTATAATCATTGCAACCGACGCTGGGGCGGGTGGTAGCTAGTATGGTCATCATCATCATAAGTGCCCACTGCTGAGCAAAGGCCTTTTCTCACACGGAGAAGGTTTGAGCATTAATCACCACGCTTGCTCAATGCGGGTTGGCGATTTCAAACTTATAATTACAAATTATAACTCCAGATTTCCTCACGATGTTTACCTTCACCGTATATCAGTGGTGTCTAAATAATCATAGAAAGTACATATAACTTTGAAAAAGTTACATTGGTACTTGCCAGGTTTCGAACCCACACCCTCATGCATGAGAAGCGGGCACCTTAACCTCCGGGCCACCACGACACCAGCTAGTATGGTATATACCACTTATTTTGGAAATAGAACCCTGCTTAATATTTCACTATTCTACGCAGATGAATTTGCAAGTAGGTCGTGGTGTGTGTGTAGTTCTTAAGTAGGGACGTGACGGCAAATACCTACGACCGTTTCTAATTCGGTCCGGTTATATAGACGTAGGTAATATTCCACTCATCTCACTCATTACACTATCATGTGATTTTGTTACAGCTCAGCTGTTAAGAATTCACGAAAATAGCTTTTAAATGCTAATAAAATAGAGAGGAAACACGATTTGTTGTATATTTGTATAGTTTTTCAAAATTTTCTTGGCGCATTGTTGCCTGAACTTGGCTACGTTAAAAAAAATACAACAAAACATTAAAAACTATCTTATTTTTACCGGCGACTCCGTTCGCGTGGAATAGTGAGTTACTGCAGATTTTTGGTTTAAAAACTATCCTATGTCCTTTCTCGAATTCTAAACTATGTCTGTAGGTACCAAATTTCACACAAATATGTTCAGTAGTTTAGACATGAAGAAAAGACAGACAGACAGGCGGAGTTACTTTTGCATTTATAATATTAGTTTGGATATCGATTTAAGTGAAATGAAACGTGATATTTACTATTGAATTGACAAATGAAAATAAATTAACTAATGCCCGTTTTCACCAACAGCCCCTAAAAAGTCACCTTAGTAAGGGCCACTTAACTTAGGGGACCGTTCAAATCATCCCTTAACTTAAATTTTGTTTCACTGTCATAAGTGTCACCTAATTAAGAGCCCCCTAATTAGGTGACGTTTAGTGTTGAGGAACTATGCAAACAGTTATCGATAAATGAATCGATTAGACTATTCTATTGTTATTTTCGTAAATATACAACCTTAAAACAAGTAATTAACTTTTCTAACTTCAATTTATTTCGAAAAGAAGAGTCTTGAACTGGTGAATGTTAGATTAGTAACAAAAAGTTGTGTTTTTATTTTTTGGCTGTATGTTGAATGCCATAGCTTACAAAGACGCGGTGCCGGTGACATTTTGATGCCACTATCCAGTGACAGTTTCATTTCAATCATTTCGTGTATTTTCAAAAAAATACCAAATTTTTATTAATTACAATGGCAGAAAAGAGGAAACGTGGTCAAAATTTTTCACTTGAAGATAAAGAATGTTGTTTATCCTGGCTAGCGAGTCACCACATCAGTTATTAATAATTTTGCAGTACTTATTGTTTGCATATTAATAGACATACTGCTTTTTCTATTCCAGAATAGTTCGTCATCATCTCCTCCTATAATTTATCACATGAATAAATGTAAAGAAGGTTTCTAGTTAATACAATTAAAAGACTTTTGAATATCATTATGAGAGACATCATAGAAAGACGATAGGTGTGCGAACGACGTTGTTCGCTGGAGGCTCAATAAATATGACACAAAGATCTGCCGTATCTGTATGTGTGCGTGTCTATCCATCTTATTAAATCATGTATTATTTCATAGGAGATTCAGTAATAAATGGTTACTCGTAAGGACCTGTGTTTCTCTAAACGCCCAACCTTATAATTGAATTTTTATGTATGTACAGTCTATAACATCCTAAAACATTTGGAAATCGAGCTATTCTGTAAAATTCTTCTTTTACTATTTATTGTTTTTCTTCGGTGTCTGGAAATTGTATGAATTCGCTTTGCCACGAACCACGATAGCGTCAGACACTCTTTTTATAATTCTACTGCAAGTAGATACACTGATGGGATTGAGATCTGCTACAGATAATAATTGATTGCCTGTTGCATAAAATCTAAGGGCACACAGTAATTGGTTAATCGGTGCCACAGATTTATTTCTTTAAATACAAGTAAGGTTGAGCAGGGAACCTGTATCTTATGAAAAAGTCTTTTTCATCATATTTTTCAAAATCTTTCGATCTTTCACGACAAATACGAGGTCGTCTATACAAATGTCGGTTACTTAACAATTCCATATCTTCAATTGCTTAAAATCTTCAAATAAATAGTGGTTATTATCCATTTTTATTATTTTTTATCTTATTCAGTAGGATAAAATACTGTTTGGTGATTCGCAAAATAACCTAACACTATGTGTCACTTAAACGTTACGGGGTCGTCAATTCATCCCCTAAATTATAAGGGACCCCTAATGATATAGGTGACACTTAATCGTTGGTGAAAACAAAACTCGCGATAAGTGCCCCTTATATTGGCTTAAGAGACACTTAAATTTTAGGGGCTGTTGGTGAAAACGGGCATAAGCCTATCTATAGTAGGCTGCGCGACGTCGCCGTCGCCGCGTCCGCGCACGCTGCTCATGAGGAAGAACCCCTCTGTGGTTCGAAACTAGTAGAGCTTTTCTCAATATTTACACGTGAGTAACCCGCGATTTTTAGTTAATTTAGTATGTCTCACGATAGTTATTATAAAAACAAATGAAAATTTATCTTCCGTTACTTCAATTAAGTACTTGATAAAAGGCCGGCAACGCGCCTGTGACTCCTCTGGTGCGGGTGTCCATGGCCTCCTATTCCATAGAAAATATTAGTTTATATGTACGTAGTTTCTTAGGAACAATATACAATATACAATGGCGATTGTTAATAGCATACGTACATACATTAATTTATTCAAAACACTAGGTAACTAATGAAGGTTAGAAAAACAACCATAATGTAACATTATTATCACTTCAAGAGCTTATTTAAGTTTTATAATGTGTTATGAACTGTTAGTACTTGACTTTTATAACGAAAACACATATATATAAATTATACCTATATGTATATACATATCTTTAAGTGCGGGAGAGCCCTGCTTCGGGACGACTGTGTCGGTAGGACTGGACTGGAGTGTACCACGGCCTTACAGAAATCCGTCGTGAAGCAATACTTACGTTGGTTTTCGCAGTATGTTTTCTTTTTTATTTACAAAAAAAAACTTTGCCCCTCACCAGGACTTTCTCTTGGATGCGTTTACAAATATGCAATTCCACATACACATGACAACCATACCAGAAACAAAAAAAATGTGGATCATATAAAGTCTTATTCCGCTCGGTAATCGAACCTGCGACACGTTGCGCGGCAGCCGCGCTTATCGTGCAATCTATTGAGGTTACCGGAGGCCCATTCGTTCCCCCTCCCGCCATCCTCAATCCTCAAATCGCCTATCTCTAAATCCCTAAAAAACACAAGACGTAACGCACTTGTAGTAACTCCTTTAGCATTATGATTGTACATGGGCGGCGCTGATTGCATACCACAAAAAAAAATGAAGTTCACGTTCCCGTTAGATGTTTTTTTTCACGGTGTTTTTTCAGTGGTATCGAAATAAACTTAGAAACTTTATATAACCCGGAGAAGGTCACTGGTACTTGCCAGGTTTTCAAACCGCATGCGTGAGAAGAAGCGTATCTTAGCATCCAACCACCACGATCAAACGAAATAACTCTTAAACCTACTACAGATAAAATAAATTGTTAATTATAACGCCACTATTACTGTCGTGGTGGCCCGGAGGGTTCCAAACCCTGGCAAGTACCAATGTCACTTTTTCCGAGTTATAAGTACTTTCTATGATTATTTACACACCACTGAGTACGGTGAAGGAAAGATCGTGATGAAACCTGGACTTATAATTTCTAACTATAAGTTTGTAATCGCCAATCCGCCTTGAGCAAGCGTCGGGATTAATGCTCAAACCTTCTCCGTGTGAGAAGAAGCTGTTGCTCAGTAGTGAGTGATAGGTTGACGATGATAGGGACGCCACACTAGCACGCCACCAAAATCTAATGTCAAAAATCTATCAAAAACCAATAATTTTGAAATTGCGATCGTTTATTAATTTCAGCCACTATTTAGTAGAGCCTGTATTTTTTCGGCATTTTTACAATAAAGGAATACCTATTTAGATCGAAAAATCGACTACTACGACTTAAATCATGACGTCATACGATATATCAAATTATTATTGTATAAACTACTAGCTACTCCTGCGCGGCTACTCGGCGGTGATGTTTTATAGCCTATAGCACACAGGAATATTGAAGCTATCTATCAGTGAAAGAATTTTCGAAATCCGACCAGCGGTTCCAAAGATACATACAAACTTACAAATTTAATCTCTTTATAATATTAGTATAGATATAAGTAAAAAAAATACGTAGAAAGTATATGATTCCGCAAAAACAAATAATTTTACAATGTCTTCAATTAATTGGCGAGAAGGATATTAAACACAAATGTAACGAACTATTAATAATGTAGGCAGTTTGTATTATAATGTTAGTTAGTAACGTAAATTCATTCATATATACTAACTAATTTATAAATAATTACCACAGTACAACAAACTGACAAATAAGTATCCGAAAGCCGTAAACATCACAAAATCGAAACCACACAACAGTCTGTGCTCCGATTTAGCCAGCCAATCACGTCACGTTAATTCAACCTGCATTTGTTCCCTCTAACACAATTTCTTCCTCAAAATTACTTAATACAGATTACAAAACAACTGTTTTAGATTATAATAAAAATGTAACAAGTTGTCAACATATATTTTATCATTGATATCGTACTGATAATGTTATAAGTGGACAGAATACGCTATGGTGCCCTCTAGTGAATACGTGTGCTTGTGCTAAAGTGAATTAAAAAAAAATAGTTTAAAAATGGCGCGAAAATCTTCAACATGGATGACACCGTTCAAAAAGCAGGTTGGTTTGTGTTTCTTTTTTTTATTATTTATTTATTTTTAAATTTAGCTAAATGTATTTTGCGATGTTTAGTAACGTTGTCAAGTGTTTTTTTTATTACTATTATTATATCTAGTGTAGTAGGATCTGATATTTCATCTGTAGATTACATACTCTTATCGAATCAAGATTTTAAAATATAGCGAAATTGGAATTCCCTTGTATTTTCATAGTGATATTTGGTTTCGTATTAAATAACGTCTTTACCTATGAAATTACCGTTCTGCATAAAAAATTTAAACGAATTTTTTGATTTGAAATGCGACGAAAATGTAACACTAATCAATAAACAAATGACTACTTTCGGAAAAATAATCCCATGTTTTTAAAACAAAATTAATTAACCTTAGCCTAACAAAAACTATTTTGATTTGAAATGGCCAGTACTGCAGAACGGCAATTCATAGGTAAAGACCTATTATAATTAATTACATTTGACTGGTAATAAAAATGTTTTTTTTTAACACGTTCCAGTCACGTTTTTCTAGGACATTAGATGTAATAGCACACAATAAACTTATGTACAGACGTTAATTACTTAATTAAAGTACATAACATGAGGTAAATGAGGTTCTGGGTTTTGAGGTCGAGCAAAGTATTATTAGTGTTGCCGATTAGATACTTATTGTCGGGTTTAGGCAGCCTTATTTTTCTGTGGAACTTCTTGGAACTTCTTTAAAAATGGAGAAAATCCCAATGGCATCAACCAAGGACATTATACCATGATCACGACCACTCTGACAAGAGTGTACGATTAAAACAAACATCTAAATATAGTAAGTAGGTATGTTGAGACAAATGGTTCGAGCGACTCTGATATTATAGGCTATCTAACACACTTTTGGATAATATGTGACTCCTTTTTTCAACCGAGCTAGACACCAAGATAGCAATCTTGGTGTCTAGTTCCATTATGCCCATTTTTTCCTTGTAGTAGTTGTACAGTGACAGGTCTTTTGCATTTGGGCACGCTATGTTTCGCATTGTAATTACTTCTCTCGCCCAGGGTAAGACGAGAGAGAGTGCCAGTCTCTTACGGACTAAAAACCCTCCCGTTCCTTCTCCTGATGTGGGCCGAGCCCTGCCTTAACCTGCAATCACGGCTGAACGTTACGCTTCCGGTGGTCGGAGATCATCTCTCCATCCCCGACGCCCGGAATGGCACCATTGCTTACAACCAGACGATCCGTCTGCCAATAAAAACCAAATTGAAAATTAATTTTAAAACATTGTTAGCAAGAATATTTCTTTTCACACTTTCACATAGTGTAACCCTCTACTTAATAACAGATATCTAATTATCTATTAAGTAACTATTTGTAAATTATTATTGTTTACATTGATCGAAGTACAAACATTTTTAGATCTAAAATATATTTAATAGACAAGTGTGGAAAGATTTCATGTTTGTCCATACGTCAGTCTTTTGCTCAAAAATATCCAAAAAGTATAAAACATAAAATATTTTTAGTTTACATTAATGTTTTTGGCAATTTCATGTTTTATTTGAAATGTGAGTGGGATTACTGGAGGCCTAATTCTTCTTCCTCTCCCGCAATCCTTAAATCTCCGAACGAATAATCTTCAAAAGGCCGGCAACGCACTCATAACTTCTCCGGTGGTGCGGGTATCTAAGGGCGGCGCCGATTGCTTACCAGCAAATCCTTCTGCTGGTTTACATTCCGTTGTTTAATCCATTTCAATTGCGAGACTAAGCGGACGTATTGTCGTGGCGATTATGATGAACATTTTTAATTAAACTTCAATATCGATTAACATTTTTGATAGGACAGGGTGGCAGGGTGGTAAATGAGTCGAGCCTGATGGAAAGCCATCGATGCAGCCCACGGATACTCACAAAACCAGTGTAGTTGTTAATGCGTTGCTGGTTTTTTGGAAGTTAAGGATGTAAAGATAGGGAGGGAAAGGGAGATTGGCCTCCGGACATATGGCAAAATGCATGTTTTTTTCAATAAGTGAGGACGTAGTATCTCTCCGTTCGAGTCCACCATTCGTGCCAAAGCAAGGCTTTCTTCACACGTCTTTTTGTCTTTTGACATAATAGAGAAGATGAAATGTCTTATGTATAAAATCCAAATTCTTGTATCACAATCAAAAAGGTACTCATACTGAATTTATATGCTTACAATGTTATACACTTTATATTCAAATCAAACCAAATCAATCAAATCAAATTCTTTATTTCAAGTGCACTTTTGAAGGTCAAGCAATAAAAAATATCAATAGGTTTAACTTTATACGTGTAAGTCTGACCGTCTGTCCTCTAGTGGAGCTATTTGCTCGTCCCGAAGTTTAGATTCCTTTGGAGAAGAACGAGCTAGAAATTCCATGGTTACTTTTTTTCAATTAGTTTCATAATTTAGATAATTCTATTATGTGAGAACAGTGTAACACCTAATGATTAACCTAAGGATCTGAAAAAGAAATGAACCTCAGGAATAGCAACTATAGACAGTCTCGAGTTGACCAGACCCAATAGGCGGCGTCCGTTCACGAACATGACACGTACACCAGCACGAGTAGTTTTACAAGTCTAAATCATTCTAATAACATCATTATAAAAGGCATGCGAAGGATTTTTTTGTGTATTTTTGACACTACTTATTTAGGCCATGTTGTCATAGACGAATGGGCATGTGTACAAAATGGCGACGTTTTTGTATGCGTTAAAAAACATTTTATTGTGTTAAATACGGTCATCTAACAAAACCTAGCAAATTGTGACAATATATCATGACCTTGTCGGACGTATTTATCTAACTATTATTTAAAATAGGTATATGAGGGTTTGCTCACGGCTTCGGTCGCAGCAAAATCGGGTAATACGGATTTTTATTCGTGTCCAAAAGCAAATACGGAACGGTGTACCTACTATTTTTACTATTTTCGTAAACTTCTGTACATGATAATATGTTCTTACGCGGGGATAGAATGTAAAAAAATAAGACAGATAATTCATTGGTAAAAAATATTCTGTGTCTGGATTTGTAGCTTCATACCTTGATAGAGATGACCTACAGTATTGTTGACGTTTGGAAAGTATCTGTAATAAGGTTTAATTGAAATAACTTTAAGTGTGGGAGTGTCATGCTTCGACACGAATGGGTCGGTTCGACCGGAATGATACCATGACCTCACAGAAAACCAGCGTGAAACAACCACAGTTCCACACAACCCACACGGCGAAATACAACGCCGTGTGGGTGAGATTACCAGAAGCCCAATCCTTCTCCCCCCCAATCCCAAAATCTCCAAATCCCTAATCCCCAAAAGGTCGGCAACACGCTGTTACTCCTCTGTTGTTGCGGGAGTCCATGAGCGGCGCTGATTGCTTACCATCAGGTAATCCGCCTGCTCGTTTGCCGACCTATCTCAAAACAAAAATATCTTGACCTTCTCGTTGTTTGTTGTGGAATAAACTGATTTGAAAATGGAATCGTTTTCTTTAAATTGTAGTTTAATCGAGATTACTTCAATAATTTATATAATATATGAAAGTAAATTTAATATTTAATACACTAACTTGTGACTTTATTAGTACTCCTTCACATACCCTTGACCTTAGGAGCTAGAACTGGCCATTTGTCACAAGCGCACTGAGGTCAGACGTCTGTAAGATCAATGATTTAATTCTGCTATTAGAATTAAATAAGCTTAGCGTAAGTAGGCCAACAGAACTATAATTATTTCCAAAATGTTTACTGCTAATACCATACAAAGGATACGGTAGAGGATATGGTGGCAGTGTGGCTTGCCTGGGCTGCACACCGCCTGTCCACAGGGAAGCAATGGGCCTTACTCTAGGCCATGGTGAGAAGCGAGAGCAACTGTGAAGCCATCTCTTCCTTCTTCACCAGGCATTCTATCTAATGAGAAGGAGGAGCGCATAAAGGAACTGACCCCATTACACCCCATGCGTTAGGACTCTCTTCGGGCGCTGATCGCGTAACAAATTCCGAATACAAGGCCTAAACAGTACCAAAAAAGTAATTCGCAGTCTGATCAGGACCGCGCGTCGCATTTGGTTCGCGTCTCAGCCGTCACACATCACCGTTGATACCATAAATAGTACCAATAGGGCCTGGGCCTTTCTACAGAAAGGCAGAAAGAACAGGGTGGTTTTTAGTCTTTCAGAATCTAACAGTTCTTCCTTCCACCTAAGTCATTGAATGATTTACCTACCAATAAAGTGATAACACTATTTCATTGTGAACCATGTACCTAATTGCAAAATAATTTTACCTTATTTCCGAGGCAGAAAAATGTTTTATCAAAATCTGTATCACCAATCTTGCCTTAACTTACGCAGAGTCCATATCATTTCTGATAGGCATCTAAGGAAAATTATTTATAGTCACGCCGATGTTTGACTCTTGGTCAAAGTTTTCCAAAATATTTTTAGACACAACTTTGGTACTTAAGATAAAACTACGCTGTGGCGCTTTGATAATTACAATTACTTTGATAAGTTTACATTAGCGATCGAGTATTTCACGGTCATGTTTGTTTGATTGTTATCCGTGTTTTAGGAGTTGATAAGGATGTGCTAATCAATAATCGCTGCCTTTCTTTTCATGATTAATCCTACTACTCATGTATTCATTAAATTGCTATTCATCCGAAAATTAAATTGAACCGACTAAATGATGTAACAAAGAAATGTACTGTAAAACTGATTGAAAAAGAGTAACCATGGAGTTTCTTGCTCGTTCTTCTCCATAGGAATCTACACTTTGGAACGAGCAAATAGCTTCACTAGAGGACAGACGGACAGACTGACATGCTTAATTTTAAAGCTCTTGAAATACTTTTTTCCTTTTTTGCTTGACGTTCAAAAGTGCCTACTGTGGTCTAATTGAAATAAATGATTTTGAGTTTGACATCAGGCAAGTTTTCATTTAGTCGAAATTAGTGGTGTTTATAGGCAGCTGTGTTTTCTT